TTGTAACGGCCAGAAAGCAGAACCTACCAGAGACGATGACTGTGTCTTCTACTGAATCATTGTTGGCGAGCTCGGCATAGCGAGAGCGAAAATCAGCACAGCTCACTGTGCGTGTGTCCACCGCTAGGCGAGGGTATGGATCTGCGCAGGCATCTTTGATCTGCTGTACGCGATCCTGCAAGGCCTTCCCTGGCGATGCCTTAGAGCTATTATTTCGAATTGGCTGTCTGGTTAGTCGTGATGTAAAGGGAGTCTGAATGTGTGATTGTATAGCGAGTCGCAGTCCTGCACTGAAGATTTTGGGTTAGCAATGTTCGAGAAAATTGACACAATTGATCCAAAATTAAGCAATAAGCTTTTGTCAGATAAAATCCAGTACGTTCAGTGCCCAAAAGGACATCACTGTAGCGGTTCTAATGCGGGGATAAATCATCATATAAGGGGGAGATGGGAGATGGTGGGAAATAAGAAAGTAAAAACAGTAAACAGTAAATGCGAATCTTACCTGTTTTGCAGGCCAAAGCCAGATAAAGCCCATCTAGGGCGAATTGAAAGCATAGCAAATGCCAATGGCTCTCACATTGTTGAGAGAAGAAGAGAAGAAGAAGAAGAAGAGAAAGAAGAGAAACGGCAGAACCGAGTTTTTCCACGCGGGTGGCCCAAGCTTCTCCGACCTCCCGTGCTCCGAATACGTTGGACACTTTCTGGCGCTCTACTCCACATATCTATTCATTATACTCATTACCATCTCTACATTCCATCTATTCATACATCATGTCTTTCCTCTTCGGCGGTGCCCCCAAGATGTCCTCGGCAGAGAAGATCGCTGCCGCCGAGACAGAAGTTGAGATGATCTCAGACATGTTCAACCGGTATGTTCAAGCTCCACGGGATATCCAAGCGCTGTATCTCGATTCAGAAACCAGAAGACTGCAGAACCCTCATTCCAATCCAATCCATCTTGGAATTATCCATATCCCGAACCCATTCTAACTTGTTTCCGTCGCGAATCATAGCTTGACCGAGTCTTGCACCAAGAAGTGTATCCCCGCCGATTACCGCGAAGGTGACCTCAACAAGGGCGAGTCTGTCTGCCTCGACCGCTGCGTGTCCAAGTTCTTCGATGTCAACATCAAGGTCAGCGAGAAGATGCAGGGCGAGGCCAGTGCCAACAAGGGTGGCATGGGCTTCTAAACGTGTTGACAACGAAATTTCTTGGGAAGGAGCTCTGGTAGCCTTGCAGCTAGAGAGCTCGGTGGTTTTTGTTTCTATGTAAGGCTATTTGACTGGTTCGGCCTACTGGAATTGGAGCCTGTCTTGAATGATGGTTCACGTTTATACCATCACAGATGGGAGGCACGATCGCCGGTCTATCTCTGACTATGTACAATATGGTGGATAAGGGAAAAACAGAGAATAAAAAAAGAAAATATCATACAAGTGTCGCCGTTAGGTCGAAAAGCCCAGGGATCGCGCTATCCATGCGGTCCAGGAAGTGTCGTGCTGCTCCTCGCCTTTGAGCAGGGCTTTGATTCTCGTCTCGACATTTACAATGTGACGGTCAAAGTCGCTCAGGCCGGCTTCCACGTCCTCGACTTTAGACTCGAGGACGTGTAGTTCGTAATCCAGTTTGGCGCCCAGCAACTCGACGCGTTTCACGCCATCGCTGAGGTGGTGACTTTCATCTATGAGGATGTCACTGGATCGTTCGCGCAGTCTCTGGTAGTCGGTAAAACGTTCCAGGTAGACTGAGTTGAGCTCTTCGTGTCGGTCATATAGGAGTTGATTAAGACCGTCCACAGAATCCACTTGTCGCTCAACCCAAGGCACTGTATGCTGGTTCAGCTCTTGAATCCGCGAGCTGAAGATGCGCCCCTCTGAGGCAAGCATGTCTTCTTGAACGATGGCCTCCTCTAGGTTATCAGTTTCTTTGACGGTTGGTTTCCCGCCCAGCGGCTCCCATTTGAACATTACTTCTTCAACTGTGCTGAACGACAGGTGTCGTGCACAGAAGTTGTCTCCCCGTTCAATCTCACTTTCAAGGCTTTTGAATTCTTCGAAACTTTGTGACCGCCGCAGAGCCATAACAGCTATCCCGCTGATCGAACCCTCACGGTCACGTTCGCGATCTGTTGATGCTGCTGTCGACCGAGACATAACGCGTTCCATATCGGAATCTTCCTCAATGATTGGAGGCTGCTGTGAAGTGGGCCAGGCTTGAGCTTGTGGTTCTGGCTCATCTTCTGGTACAGGTTCAATATGGATTTCAGGGGCTTTTCTCTCAGAGTCGGGGATTGGCGACAGCTGCGGGTTCTCTTCCTCGTTGAGCTTTTCGATGTCGTTTGATATCATTCTTTCTGACCGGAACCCAGAGTCAGTGCCCGTTTTTGTTGATGCTTTTGTTGATGATGCCTCGTTGTCACTGTCAATGGACGGACGGTATGCAATATCGTGTGTCAAATCAGAGCTGTCTCGTGAAAAATGATGGTGATGGCGAAGGCCCTGTAGTCCGACTGCATCTTTGAAACGTCCTAGCCCTGCTCGCGCATCTGAAACTCGTCCGCTGACGCCCTTCTTTCGATGATCCTTTTCTTCAACAGTCGGTTCTGGCATCTTCCAAGAGCGATCTGGCCCTGAGTTTACTCGCTCGGCATGCATATCCTCTGATGAATGTTTCTTGCGACTAGTCCAGACATAACCACCTTGCTCATCAGTGGTAAACATCATATCCGATCCAGTCCCGCGAGCGAACCCGTCTTCGACGCCACTTTTGCGCGGTTTACCCAACCACAGCCATTTTGCTGTCTCGCCATTACAGCACTGCACGAAGGTATCAAGATCCAGTGTTTCGATATCGGCAATGCCACCTTTGTCACGCCCGCGGACCATACCCATAACCATCTCACCACCTTGTCCACTCAGCTCTGCCATGGTTGACTTCACTGCATCGGTCCAGCCTTCTGCATTGGCAGCCTTGGCAGTCACGCGGTGTAACCGGTCCAAGGTAAGTCGGTCCAGCCTCCGCGATCGCCTCATCTTTTGAGATTTTTGGAACCCACCGATTCCTCTTTTTAGATTGGGGAAGTCGAATGCATCTTTCCCCACGGGGGCGCCATATGCGTGCAGTCGATTCCGAGCTCCGAGCAACGTTCCCAGCAACGCAGCCACACTAGTGGGCCCTAGACTGCTGTCGCTTGGTTCAATGTTGTACAGGTCTGTCCCGATATCTGTCCACCAATCGCTAACAGCCGCCTCGGTCACATCACAAAGTAGCCCGTCCACATATTCCGGGGCAAGCTTGTCAAACACCATCAAGGCAATCTGGCACTGTCTGACCAATTCCATGACCGCATTGTATAAGGGAACCCTCTCGCTTGTTCGGTACAGCTGATGAAACTTGGCTTCGGTCGCCGCTGAGGGAGGTTGAAGCTTCAAGCCCGCACGGCCTGCGCACCCAAGTCTCTTTAAGTCTTCATTCACAATAAAGTCCTCCCGGTGTTTCTTTATATCGCCATTCGGTATTGGAATTAGGCTCAGAGCAGAAGGGAATGAGGCCAGATCCGTAACCATGACCGTCCCTAATGGTGATTCCTTCTTTCTGGCGTGGCATTGCTTCATGCCGTCAAAGTACATCCGTAAGCGAGGTGACCATGTAGCCTCATTGGTCGGAACACTCAATACTCCCACAATCACTGTATGCGAAGGGTCACCGGTATAGGTCGATATGATAAATGTTGGATGCACGCGAGAGCAGGCCCATTGTTCAACAATATAAATTTCATAGCCTTGTAGCGTTACACGTCGCTGGAGCACATCGGTCGAGGGGTCTTCTTCGAGGTATCGGAGGGCAACCGCATCGGTGAATACAAGTCGCTGGTGGCCTTGCGGTGGGGGACGTTCGGGTCCAGCTGCGTAGGAGGCAGCCTCCGATGGCATTGAATCGGTGCGATCGACCGGAGGGACACTGGGGGCGTTGGCCTGCATGATGGCTAGTTTCTTGTCTAGGCTTATTTGCTAAGGGGAGCAAAAAATGAAAATAGCGCCGATCATTCAATCTTAAACCAGGTCACCTCTCCTAAGCTCTGATGCGAAGGGAGTGCCGACCTTCCTTCAATCCTCCTGCACTCTTGGTCACGTAGAAACGATTGTGACATATCCAGGCAACAGGTTTTGAGGCATAGTATGAGCCTAACGTCAAAGGAGAAAGGCAAACGTAATTCGGCGAACGCCTTGAAAACCGCATAAACCCCCGAAGGTGCAAAGGTGGCGACGTCATTCCGTACCTTATGGCGGACAGATCATGTGAGCATTGCTGCCTGGTGTTGCAGCCTCAGGCATCAATATCTGTATAGATATGAACATGGTCTACGGTTCCCCTCCCTCTCTTGCGATAATAGTTTGACCTTCATTGATGCAGCCCATAGAAATTTATTTTTTAAAAAAAATCCCAGTTGAGCCAAAAGACAATACGCAAATCCCTTTAGCCCGAGAAAACCATCCCCATGGACCACCCTCAAACAACCGAATGGAGGATCAAGAAAATCCTCAAAGAAGATTATAGGAAGGAAATCAGAAATTCGTTCATCGTAGATATAGCCAGAAGAATTGAGCTTGTTTGCTGTATCGAGCTGATTTAGTTCAATTTGATATCTGATGCTAGATCTATTCTTTGAGCCCACCATAGTACTACTAACGCCCTGGGATAAAGCCCATAAAAAAAGGCTTTATTGGGTAAGTCTTTTCATGGACAATTTGCGCTTTTGAAAAAACTCCTCCCCAGGTGTGCCGCATGCGTGCTGACTTTCCTAGCAGATGTTCCTGTAAGTCCTCTTCTGTTGAGATCAATCGTGCCCAAAAGGTCGTGTAGACATGTGGTATAGAGATTCGAACAGAGCCAGCAAAATCATGATGCAGTGGAGGAAGATCTGGGCTAGTAGTTCCATTGTAGGATGCCTGTGCGGCCATTACAAACGCTGGCGAGGGAATTGTAAGAGAGGATATCACGGAATCAATCGCTTCTGTGTTGGCGTAAAGAAATGTGTCGTGACGGAGGCCTGGTTCAACTTTGCTGTCTTAACAAAGACGTCGGAAGTAGCTAAGAAGATTAACAGTGCTCTAGAGTTGAGTAATCCGCCAAAAGCTAGAAATATATCTTACCTGCAAAGATCAACCACTGAGGCATCTTTCATCGATGGATCCTCTATCCATTGTATCTTCCAAAGAGGCCGAACACTCGGGAAATTTCGAGGGAATGTTAGTGCAGATTCCGTAGCGTGGATGACGAATTCTTTGAACGTCTCCCACGATGAGTCTTCGCCAAATGAAATGCGTATGCATGCAAATCCCCACGCTGGCTGCCGTTCAAGGTGTTTTTCGATTCCTTCGACCCATGGTAGCGAGTTACATCCCGTGATATTTTTGAGGTCGTCGATAGAGAAATTCTTGATTTCGGGCTTCCTAAGAGCTTTGATGCGGTCAAAGGCGATGTCTGCGTTCGTACGCGCTGTCTTCTCTAGATTCATTTCCGGCGCTGTAAGAAGCAATTCAAGCGCATCATGAAACTTCTTCTTTGTGCTCGGTGACCACCGTTTTTGATTTGTCATTTCCCGCTGATCCTCTGGAGTAGAATCACCGAAAGGAGTATTAAGAACAATAATCGCTTCGGCCTCGGTGAGGTTATCCGTCCTGGCGGCCTGTGATAGCTCCTGTGAAGAGCTGCTTGGACTGAAGAGTGGAGTCTACATCGATGGTACCCCGTGCATCGACATCAATCGAGCCGTGGAAGAGAAGTTTCGAATCAAAGAACCCATATGCCTCTTCGATGTTGAATGTGGGTGAGATGGTTCCCACAAAGAAATAGCCAAATTTCATCTCTTCGGAGACATCCCCACTTACCTCAACGTTCACCCAGCTTGAGTCTTTGCATGAGTCTGCTTTGCTAGAAACAATAGTATTCCGAAAATGGTCGTCATGTAAAGATGAGAGGCCGGGTACGCCGCGTATGGCGTCAAACTTGGTCTTCCAATCTTCGGCGCTGGAACTGTAGAACCGTTGATGTCCATCACGCTTCGTTTTGGCAGGATCGTCTTGAACTATTGACTTCCAGTAGTTGAATTCATTGGAGTAATCAATGCGGATGTAGATATCGCCAGAATCACGCTTGACTCACTTGAAATCATAACTCAACTCAAGGTCGTATACTAAGGAAGGTCCAGAAAAGGATCGTTTGATATGAGAAGGCAGTCCTTGGTTCTCAGATCGCTAGATATTGTGAGCAACCGCGTACGTTCCTACGCCGCAGCTATCTGGCATGTGGAGAATGGTTCCTTTAACCACACCCTCTCCGATATTGCAGTGCTCTCCAGATGCGTTTTCCAGGCAAGCCAGACGGACTGTACTAGATCCATATTCTGAGATATTTTCACAGTCCAAAACAGTCAAATCAGGAGTACCGCGTCACTTGAGGTTATCGACAGTCCCCGGTGGCCCGTCAATGATCACCATTCCAAATGTCTGCTGGTTTGGTTCATTCACAGTCGGCTTGCGATCTCCACCCAAAAGTTGCAGGTCAAATTCTGGATAATCTGACTTTTGTGGAAGGGTTGGGAAGACTTTATCCAGCGCAACGGGCAGAAATGGACTGACATTTTTTGGTTGATTGCAGCACAGTACCTTCTTTCGGTTGTTCAAACCATTGGCACATTGGGAATTGCTCATGCCAAAGGCATCTGTCATGAACTCAACATCTGTGTCGCTGCATTCATCGTCATCGCAGGTCCCTTTGCCTACCCAGTGACAATTTTGGAATGCACTGGAACTTGGGCAGCATATAGGGAAATAACGCCCGCCCTTTGGCAGCCAACTAATGTCTCCTGGTCCTAATCCGAATACTTCAGAAATCTTGCTGTATCCAGAGGGGCAAGTCTGTTTATTGACGCCCCATCCATTGGTTACGTCGGAAGTCTTGCCAATGTAACATGCATCAATGAGATTCGAGTATGTACCGGCTGAACAACAGGCAGCCTGGAAGCCGAGTTTATAGCAGTTTGTAGTCGAATGGCGGGAGTGTAAAAGGGTCACTTCACCAGCTTGACATTGACCATGGCACGAACGGCTGGTCTCGCTGCCTCTCCAAGTACACGATTCTGGCATAGCATCCACAGGACAGCAAATCACGCGAGACTTCGAGCCACTGCAGTCATCTTGGAAAGATTTAGGATTGGCAAACGGGGCGAGTTGATATCCGGTAGCACATGTGGGAACCATCGCACAATCGGTCCGTACACATTTTTGTCCATTAAGCGACGCCCAATGGCCAGTATCAGTAACTTTGGACTTTTCGGTGACGCTATCAAAAGTCACCAGGACTTCGGCCCAGCAGATCTGTCAGAGCAGAGAAGTCATTGTCATCCTGATCAATAGACCATATCATGACTCCTCTCAGGCCAACAGAATCGGCCCAGTCGACTTTCTGTTTGAAGGTCTCATTGTTGTCAAAGCTGACCCATTGATCATCGTCAAATACAATGTAGTTGACTGCGGCTTCCTTGTCGTGGATAATCTTAGGCTTCTGATCTCTGATGATGTCTTGAATCTCAAAGTAGGCCAGCGTGCCAGCGTTATCGGTGCAGGATCCTTTGTTGGCTGCTCCTGCAAAGGCACACCCAGCATCCGAGCACTTCTTGTCTTTTAACTGAAATGAGCGGTCGTAGAATCCCAATCCCAGCACGACCTTTTCAGGGGGCACATTGTTACGCCAGAGCAGTTCAGCAGCCTCCTTTATTTCAGTCAAATTCGTGTGTGCTATAGCGACATTAGTATAGAATAATTATTTTGGTCATGAGGTAAAGGCCCACGCACCGAGAACAATACTTCCAATAGGATCATCGCGGTCCCAGACTCCATAAAGATCATAGCTCATCAGATTCACCCTACGGTTTATCAACTTTGAAGCATTGGGTAAAAGTATCTGTCAGGACATACCAGTCGGCATGTTTCATCATTCCCTTGAAATCAAACCATCTCAGATACCAGTATGAAGAAGGTATGGTAAATGACAGGCCATAATTACCTTTTTCCGAAGCGTCAAAGGTATGCCGGGGTGTTTCAAAGAGCTTCACATAGTTCTCCACGTCTTCCTCCTTTCCACCACGATCACTAGCACCGGGATACTCGAAATCAATGTCCACGCCATCGAAGCCGTAGTGTTGCATAAATTTCACGAGGTTTTTCGCAAATATCTGCCGTTTTGGGGGTGCTTTACTGAAATTAGTCAATGATGGATAGATGGCCTGGGAGTACTCACATGAAGCGATATCGCCAAACACAGGTTGTGTCTCTGTCTTGTTGTCTGAGAAGATCCATCCACCAATGGATACAAACACCTCTAGATCTCCGTTGCCAGACTTGAGTGTCCGCACAACAGCTGTCTGTGTAAAGAGCTCAGCAGGGGTGTCTGAGCTCATGGGCCCAACATCGTAAGAGTTTGGGTCTACATATGCAAACGCAAAGTTGACGTGTGTGAGGCCTTCTACTGGAACAGCAGACGGAGGGAATTGGTGGCAATCCTTTAGGGCATACCATGACTCGTAATATCCGATGACCTTGCTCTTTAGGACAGACTTGTCAGCCTTCCCAGGAGGTGGATCAGGGTGGCCACAGTTGCTTTGACAACCAAAATTCACATCACAGAACTGATCTGTTGATTCACAAAAGCCAAACTCGGAGCAGCAGACATTCAAAGGACATGTCTTGCCCACAGGATTCGCGTCTTTTCCGCAGGTAGGTTTTGCATCACAGTTGGACGTGCAGTCTGTACCACAGAATGTTTCGCCGTAGCCACAAGTGCCTGTTCTCGTTCCATAGAAAGGCCCACAGCATGCGCCATTAGAGCATGGTTTTTCTTTAGTACAGGGGCTTCCACCATCACGGCGGACAAAGTGAGAGAGATTGGTATCGTAATTGTCACTGTCTTCAAATAAGTTGTTGGATGGTGGTATGGGCCGCTCGGAAGACCTGAAAAGAGTAGCAAAAAGACATGAATATAGGACGATCAAAAAGAGATACGAGGCTTTCCAGCCTAGGGTCAAGCAATGGACCATCACTTACAATCACTGCTTAGACAGTCAAGAATGACCCAAGCAATCCAAGGCATATCCGCACCATTTAAGACTGCTCTCTGTTTCCTTGTTAAATTAGTTCTTTTCCGAGTATAGTTAACATGAGCTCGAACCCTGGACATGTACGTACCTCTGCCAGTAACAAATTGGGCCAACTCGAAACCAAAAAGCCGGTGAGACCCTTGCAAGCCCTGCATGGCCCCCGAAGCCTCCAAAGCCCCTAAAGATATACATGGGGAATGAGCATCATGAAACAAAAGATTGCCAGGTTTGGTAATACAATGATTGCCTAAGAAGGGTTGTGCTGTATTCATTGAGGTCCAGGTAGGTACCCTTCCGATGAAACTGCCGGCATAGAAAGGGCCTTTATATTTTAAGTGCCTGTCCGCCTTCATTTTCAGACATCTGGAACTCTTTAAAACTTGCAGGGTAAATTTTGCAAAGACCCTGTCAAAATGGGCTTCATACGAAACTTGGTATGCAAGTTGCTTTTTTCTGCTCTCTCCTCTGGACGAACGCATTCCCAAAAGCGCTTTTTACTAGCAAAAGGTTGACAGGTGTTTAGCCTTGGTCTCCCAGGGGCCTTGTCGCAAGCCTTTCTTACATCTTCCGATAACGAGGAAGTGGCATCGATCGAATTCCCAGATTCTCTTTCAGCAGCCTGCGCGTATGTCAATTGAGAATACCATGGCATTTCAGGGCTAATTTCGATCTAGTGCTCCTCTCCAGAAGACACTTCAATGCAATTCCACTCTTGCCAGTGTTGCCATGAATGGATATTTTCCAAGTGAACAGGATTTGAGCAACCTATGCACAAGCAATTGTCTAAGCTCCCTTCAGGACCTTCGAAGTCAACAGATACAAGGGTGCACTGCCGAGGATATCATCACAACTGGAGGGCAGGCCTTCCCACCTACATTGACTCTCGATCAACTTATCTTCACTTACAACTATACCTGTATCAAGGACGAGTATGTATTTGATCACTTACAGGTCTCTAGTTTAGATCATCATTTATTAACACAGAGGATAGATCATCCAAGTTCTGCGCACCACAAATTGAATACTGGCTGGATTTTTCCACGGGAATGACAGCATCACAGAATTGTTCAACTTGCTTTCTCGGTACTTTGCAAATACAGCTTGGCTCTTATTTTGGGTATGACGACGAACTAGATGAGGAATTCTCTTCTCTAACATCGAGTTGCTCGAAAACCAAATACTCAGTCACCTCACCACCGGTGTACACTGTTGTTCATCCAGCGACAGCCAGTATCTCTATTGCATCAACTGTCTCTTCGGTTTCCTCTTCGGCCATCCCAACCGTTAATTGTGCTGAGGATTACACCATCCAAGCAGGTGATACATGCTATTCAATCAGCACAAAATTCAACTCGTCTACACATGCGCTGCATTATGGAAATGATCTTCCGGCTTATTGTGTTAGCTTTCCTTCTCCAGGCACTTCGCTCTGCATACCTGAAACATGTGGTATTTACACAGTGCAGTGGGGCGACACATGCTACAGCATTATGGTTGCATATGATTATGCCTTCACTGTGACTCAGCTCATTTCTTGGAATCCTAATCTCAACCGGGGGTGCAGCAATATAAACCAGTTGGTAGGTTCTCAAATTTGTCTCAGCTCCGAGAAAGGAGCTGCACCCACCATTTCCTCATCGACTGCAATTACCACTGCGCCCATCCCTACAGATCTTGCCAATGGGACAAACACTCGGTGTGCCAAGTATCACCAAGTGGCTACCAACGAGACATGCAGCTCAGTGACAATGAAGATGGGTATTAATCCGGTAGACTTTACTTTCTGAACCCAGAAGTTAACTCAACAAACTGCAACAACTTAATACCGGGAGAATCATACTGTGTGAAGGCTGTTGGGGATATCAGCACTTATTCCGGCTATGGGGGTACCAGTCAGACTAAGTGCATTCACAAAGGCACCATTGCCAGGTCGTGTTTGGCAACCACCACTTTGCCGACTGACACCTACTGGGAATTTCCTTCGCCTATGAATGCGACCAGTACGTCCGCGAGCGTGTCCGCCTATTCCACTCTGCCTGTTGCATCGTGAACGGTTTCCAGTTTTGTTCAGTACGAGCAATATGACAACCCGGGACCCAACAGATCAAATACCATGAACACATGTGACTACATTGCCCACTTTATCGGGATCACAGTTGATGAGCTGCTGCTGCTGAACCCTTCCCTCTCACATAACGACTCCAATCCCAGCGCTTGCTTTTTGCAGAAGGGCTACCGCTACTGTGTCAGACAATTAAAGAGCACTGCCTCGGTCACTACATCTTCCCTGACTTCTACCAGTGGTGCAATGGTGTGAAGACTGATTGTTCTCACTGGAGATTTGTACGTTTGTGGTGCCGGTGTAAACAGCCCAGATTCAATTAGGGCTGCTTAGCATGTAGGCCACCATGGAATGCAATCTCCATTGTACAACAAACCTCCGTTGACCGCTATGATCTAGAACCCCCCTAATTTACTGGTGTCTCATATCCAACCCGTTGTTTATTATTCCCTCCAATTCCATAGTTGCAATATCAGAGATATTACACCAGATCCATTATAGTATACATTATTCATGTACCTTTATTATCCATCAGTTTCCCGCAGAATTCCGGCAGTCGAGGAAACCAAATGGTCAAAGTAGTACGTGAGGGTGGGCACTCCTGGCGAAGAGAACACAAATAGAAGGAGGGATCACTCAGCTCGCCATACCTAATTTTATCCCACCCGCGACCGTACAAGAACGCATATTTCAGTGCCACTGTATCTCTTCAAACTTGGATTTTTAATGGGGTTGATTGCTCGTTGCGTATGAACAGAGGTCCACCTTGCCCAGTTCGCAGTCGGAATGCCCAACCTTCAGACTTCGGCTCTGAAGAAATACATATCTAGAAACAAAAGTTTTCACCCCAGTAGACTAACCAGACAGAGCCTATACGAAGACCACACGACGATAGTCGGTACTGATAAGTTGGAACATGTCTGCTAAATTCCTAGCGAAGGAAAGACCACAAAGCTCAACACTCCTTACACATTTGAAACTACATGCTAACTCCTCTACATCAACTAAAGCATCAAGAAAGAGACAATCTTCGAAAGCCATCACCAGAATGCTCGACCAGCGAGATGGCAGACATGATTCATATTTATAAAACTATGCCATGTTATGTTCAAAACATTTCCTCTAAAAGTCCAAGGATATCAACCTCCAATCACGTCCACACTAGACAATTTAACGTCCACCGTGCTATAGAAACGTCAGCCAAAGTCTCATGAGAATGAACGAGTTATACATACGCCTCCCTGAGGACCACCAGGACCACCGGGTCCGCCGTGGCCGCCGCCGTGACCGCCGTGTCCACCCTGGGGTCCTCCAGGGCCGCCGAAGCCACCAGGACCACCCTGCTGCTGTCCCTGGAATCCACCCTGAGGTCCGCCGAAGCCACCAGGGCCGCCCTGGGGTCCTCCAGGACCGCCGTGTTGAGGGCCACCCTGTCCCTGGAATCCGCCGGGGGTCCGCCCTGAGGTCCGCCGGGACCCTGCTGGTGACCACCCTCGTGGTGCTTGTGCTCGTCGTGCTTATCGTGGTGGTGGCTGAAGAGACCCATGATGGATTATTGTATGAGGAAAGTGGGGGAGGTGGTAGATTGATGAACAGAGAGATTGAGAGAGGATATTTGAGTGTGTGAGTATAATTCAGAAAGGGAAAGGATAGAGGGGTTCCCAGCTGCCTTTTATAAAGACTGAGTGGCGTCACCAACCAGGGAGCTAAACTAGTGCTCAGATGCTGTGACCTGAACCCAGTGTTGGATCGCGATGATGGCATCACTTACGACTCCTGTGTGGGGTAGCAGAGGCCCTTGATTGGGACGAGCTACTTCCGCCACTTGCTACTAGCATCGATCGAGGAAGACGTACCCAAACCCTACTTTGTAGATCGATTCGCCATTTCTGAGATCTGTTGATTGATTCCTTCAATGCAATATGTATCTTGTTCGGGTAGTTTTTTTTCCTTTAAAATTGAGCTTTCAGCCCCCCAGTCTCGATTTCATTATAAATCAATATAAACAGCCAAGCTTTCCAACCCCAATATTAGCATGCGCAGATTATCTTGGGGCCTACAAATTGGGCGTGAATTGCTGCTCGGTCTTCCGCCGCGAGGCTTGGCGTTAAGGCTATACGTCGGTGCGTACGTATGCCTCCCCACAGCTCCAGCCCTATCAACCATCTTACCGCCGAGGTTCTACCACTAATGATTTATGGGTTTTGAGAGTGCCAAGGCCGCTCTCGGGGTTAATTGCCCTTATTTTTAGGTCGAGTGTCGGTTGTAAGGATCATAACCAGTAAGTGGAACTAAGGTTTGGACATGTTATTTCAACTAGTCCATCTGATATCGAATAAATTAATCCTAAAGGGAAACATCTAGCGGATATTACTATTTTTTGGGAAGTCAATTGGGTCTGCTTTCATATAAGAATTGCCGCAGGTAGGGAAAGATCTTGGTATTCGTTTCACGAGCAGGGAAATATATATATGTACATTTTAAAAAAAGGTCGCGAACTGAACCAACGCTATGAGTTACAGCCAGGCGCCTCGAACAAAGAACCAATCATACCACGGGCTAAGGCAGCAAGCCCGTACTTATTCCCGTGCTCATCTCAAGTTGTTGATAACCCTTTGGATTGTGGAGATTCCTTTGTGCGGACGGCATGAGATCGACGATCAAAGAAAGAATATACCCAGTGAAGACAAAGGCGATGACTGTGGAGCGAATTAGTACAATGTAGGGTAGCGGAGAGGTGGGGACTATATATATCTACTCACCCCATTCAAGAGTAGCTGCCGTGTTGTTCTGCTGGTAGTGGGTATGCTCGGTGATGCGGAAGATGATAATGAGGACAAGCTCAACGACAATGAACGAAGATTTGATAACGAAGCTTGTCATGAGCACAGGCTCCCGTAGAGCATGTGCAATTCCGAGGTAGATATAATCCAAGCACATCAAGGCCGCGCTGAGGAGGAACCCCACACTGAAACCGTTAGTACATTGTAACGTAGATGCATATCGGTCTTGGCGAGGGGCATACATGAAGATCGTCACGCAGACATCGTGCATGAAATGATGGGCGATGTTATCGAGGACAGAGAGCATAATCAATCCGGTGCTCCCGACGACTGTGAAAAAGAATGAACCGTGCGTGCACGCTTTGCTGATATATGATTTGTTTTGAACATGTTTGTAGAAGGAGAGGTTTAAAAGAAGGACTGTCGTAATAGATCCGATCATGAATAATGGCTTTAATTCCTGGGCTCCGATATCTGAAATGAATCTATGCCAGCACCATTAGTTCAAAATCTTGGCATGATTATGGAGATGACCCAAGATGGCAATTGCTCACGGGATATTCTGACCAGGCTTCATCAAGCCATATCTCGGTTCACCGATCATAGTCCAGTGTCCTAGCATAGCGAGTAGCATTGCTAAATGCAGTGTTAGATCATTGTCCAATGCGACCGTGGATACTTGGAGACCCTCACCTAGCCAGGTGGAAGCGGCTATGGCCGGAAAGACCCAGGATGGGGGTGACATTTCGGGGGTGTACGGATAGCTAGGGAGTGTGTTTTGGAGCAGTAGTCATAGTCTTGTTATAGCAATAGTATCAAAGAGCGTGGGCTGGTGAAGTTGGATACCAGCCACATCTCTTTACTCGAGCAGTTGACAAAGAGAGAGAAAGTGATCCTTACGCTGGGGGTCAGGCAACAAGAGATTGTGCCTGTCGATCCTTGCTCACTTGCCCCTATGACGATAGTCAGTTATGGTATGTGGGTCTATTAAGGCATTGGCAACCCCTTGGTGGTTGTTTCGTGTAAAAAGCCCATGTTTCGTATCCGTATATGAAAGATAGTGCGCATCCGTCTGTCAAAGACAAAAGACGCTTTACAAAATTAGCACAAAGACCATACATTGTTGATATTGTCTTCTTGAGACTCGGCAGGTAGATAATGACAGGGCATGTTTTGGCTGATGCCTGAGCGTAGAATGAAAAGTCTGATTGCTTGTTGATCCACCATAAAACATTGAATCGAGAAACTGGTTACATATCCTTCAGTACCATTGGTGGGGCCCAAAGTTGGAGATATATTCGTCGATGTCTGGAAGGCAGACCAGGTTTATCGTACTCCGTACAGAAGTAGTATACCCCAGATATGGAGGTGAAATGATCCCCTCGTGCATCAACAAAAGCTGCACGGAATATTCTCGTCCGACCTATCGCCTGTAATGTATCAGTGCATAAAAGACTGACATGTACGGAGTATCCCTTGGCAAGGCTCGACGAAACTGGGGATGTGAAAGGCAAGTCCCATGACCATTTCGCAGGCCTCCAATCTAGGTATGGGAACAGAATAGCTGCCGCTCCCTTGACTGCGACCGTACCTGCAGCATAGTTTCAGGTACTCCGTATGTTGTACCGAGGCTAAAGGAGGTCAATAAGCGAGTATGCGTCACTTCGATATCGGGGTAGTATATGAGCGACAAGATAAGACGGGGTTAGGGGATGAAATCCAGGATCCTGCCCACGAGTTCGATGGTCATAATGAGGTGCCTGCTCGACCTAGCTCGGTCGCACACCAACTTCACGGTCGGAATGCAGTCAGTAGAATCCTAGTGATACGTCAATAACAGCCCCTAAACTACTCCATAGAGCTCCGTTGAAATGAAGGAGGCTTTTGATAGCGTGGTATTCGACTATCAACTGGCCACCGAATAGTGAAGGGAAATGATGCAACCAAGGGGTTAGTTACATAGACCCCCGAAACATTCCCCAGTTCAGACCTCAGGTAAATTGCATCGGTGGGGTAGTGCTGAGACACACTATCCTCACGATATGAACTTGTGTGAGAATGAGTTGGTGATAATGATACGACAAGATAATAAGGAGTGCCAAGTGAAGAAGACCAGTTCAGACAGAAAATTTCTTACTCCGTACCTGAATATTTATTCACGAGAATAGAAAGGATACATAGTGGGGCTCCCAAGAGAGGATTTAGCGGCACGCGATCAAGGGACGATCGAGGGACGCGACAAGAATCAAAACATTGGACAGTCATCATGGTGGGAAGGACTTTTTAATTAACAAAGGGTTTAGCATGACACATATCTACAAAGATTCTCTTCTCTAAGAGCCACCATCATGGGTAACAAGTAGTGAAAAGACTCAAGATACTCGAGGGTGACCGAAGAGTCTCCCATCGAAGAATCAAATCAACTCGAGGGCTCTGAGAGCCAAGGAGCTGAGGCAGTGTGTTTTTCAAAAATTCCCAAGCGTGCGATTAGGCTCGCTTGAAGCAGTCAATTTGGTAGTTTTCAACTAGCAAAAACACGATCTCGGATGTCTCCTCACTGATACGTGTAAAACCCGTGCACTAGGATGAAGAAGAAAAGAAAAAAGAAGAGGAAATTTCGGGGGAGGAACCAGGTATTTATACCTCTCTGCGGGTGGGCAAACGCGGTTATGGATTAACTATATTCCGGTAGTTATGGATTATGTTGTAGTTGTATTGCGATCGGATTAATCTCCCGCGTATTTGTCTCGGAACAATATTGTTACGAGACTCCGAGATGTAAGGGGTGTATAGATTTAGAAGGCGGTACATATGAGATTGGCTCCGTACAGTTAAAAATGGACACGACGAGGAGAAGTTACAAGGTCGCAGAACCTGATACAATAATGCGCTCATTGCAAAGCTAGAGCTGAGGATATAACTACATACCAACCTACGTACTATCTATAGATTTGAAGAATGTGTGTGTGACCACTGGGTGAGTTACCCATGAGGAGTTCTGTACTAGAAATGAACTATAATATTCAATATAATTACTTCGTATAACTACATGTATGTAGTTATTTAGAGCTCCGTACGACTGTCAAATATACATACGACGTTCCTCATCTACCGTGCACTAGCACCATACATATGTACCTGGATAATCACTTGCCAATCACTTTCCGGATGGAGGGGTTAATCACGTGGCAGATCACCCGGAACAGCTCGTCTCTCTGTTTCGATTCAACCAGGTTTCTCTGGATAGTATCTTCGTTATAGCTGCATCTATTCGAAGGAAAGTTTGTTATTGCCTCAATATATTGTATATTCTATCCAATTTGGAAGGCGCCGAGATAAAAGAGCTCTTATCTGAAAGTTCTCCACATGGCGAGACTCGGTAACCTCGCCTGTCACCTCCGAGCCCATCAACCGAACCTCGTCTGCAATGGAAGTAGTGCAGAAAGAACACAGCCGACTCCTCAAGAGGACTGAAAGTTCTCAGGGCATCAAGAATGTTGAGTCTGCAATTGATTCTCTGCAATGTGCCCGCGATGCCATCGCTGCTGGTTAGTCCCTTGTAAACGTGGACCCGCTTGGTTCTGACCTGACGACACCGATTCCTAGATCCATCTTCGGCCTCTACCGTTCTAGCCACCCTTCAGAGCTCGGTGAAATCATCCTTTGACTCTATCAATGACAGCTTGAAAGAGACTCACAGTGGCCTCAATAAGTACACCAAATCTCTAGATAAGGTATTGGAAATTCTGGTCGTCTATGCCTTGCCACTAATCTAACATCGGACACAGCTTTTCAAAGATCGACCACTACCTGGAACCGACGAAGATGGCCTCTCTGCACACGAGAACCTCATCAACCGCGCCATCGCCATGCATCTCCTTCGCGAAGGCCAGTTCGGCGTGGCCGCCACCTTCCTTTCCGAGATTGCCGAGCAGAAGACAATGTATCCAGTCTCGCAAAACGGACATGGGCCGACGAATCCACCCGCCAGCCTGCTCGATATGGACGAAGTCCCTTCGACCGAGATCCGGAAACAATTCGCCTCAATGTACTATATCCTACAACAATTACAAGAGAACAGGAACCTACTGCCTGCAATCGAATGGTCGAGGGAAAACCGCGAGGCGCTGGACGCGCGGGGTAGCAACCTTGAATTTGAGCTCTGCCGTCTACAATACGTCTGGCTGTACCATGGTGGAGCAAACAACCAGGGAACTGGAAGTGGATGGCTCGCTGCGCTTGAGTATGCACGGCGGGAGTTCCATGTGTTTGTACCCCGATATTTGAGAGAAGTTCAGCAGCTGGTCGGAGCAATGGCATACTCGCCCAACCTCGGCGGGTCGCCATATGCGGCTCTCTTCAATAACAGCTCGGCTTGGGATGACGTAGCTCACTTCTTCACTCGCGAGTTCTGTTCTTTGCTGGGTCTTTCGGCGGACTCACCGCTGTACATTGCTGCTACAGCGGGTGCGATCGCTTTGCCGACGCTATTAAAGCTACAAACGATTATGAAGTCGAAGCGGACGGAGTGGACATCAGACAACGAACTTCCAGTAAGAAAATCGCTACTCTGTGGACAAATCAATGCTAATATTTATATTTTCAGGTCGAAATACCCCTCCCTCCTCAATATCTCTTCCACTCTATCTTTGTCTGTCCGGTGTCAAAGGAGCAGGCGACCGATGAGAACCCTCCTATGATGATGCCATGTGGACATGTAATTGCCCATGAATCGTTGAAACGCCTGAGCAAGGGTAATCGGTTTAAATGCCCGTATTGCCCTAGTGAAAGCCACCCCAAGGATGCTAGGAACGTATTCTTATAAGTATTCTTATAGTGTAGGTGTTCACTTTCCCTTTCTTTCTTTCTTTCTTTCTTTCTTTCTTTCTTCTTTCCTTCTCTGTCCTCATATCTCTGGATATTTTCCATTCCATGGCAAGCGGCGATGACACGGATAACTTCGGGAGCACCGGGTCATGTCAAGGGCGTTTAGCGTCGGCGTTCAGGGGCTCTGTTGCAATATTGCAATGCAGGTCCATTCAATCAAAGCTGTACGGAGCACTGCTATTTAATTCAAACCTGACTTTTGAATGTAACCAAGTTCAAGAGTAAAAATCAACATCGCCATTCCAAGATATTCTTGCCCAATGGACGTATCAATTACAAGACAGAAGATCAGAATTTGCCTCCGATGCGAATCAATAATCCACCACAACCCACAATCATTTCCCAAATAGGAAATCGTAATTTCTTTTGTCTCAATGGCGACCTCTGATTGGCTAAATCGAGGCCCGTGACCACGCGCCCATTTGGCGACTCGAAAAAACCCCTTTACGCGCTCGAAACTGATTGTGACGCGTCTTTTGTCAAACTCTACCCCTCTGCGCAGGCTAATTGGAGCTATCCAGCGGATCACCCGTATACAAACCGTCCGGTGCTGTCCTGTAATCTCCACCCAGTACAATATAATGTAAGATGTGACTTGTCGCTGTAACAAGCAGGAGCTTGCAGTGTCCTCTCTCTGTCTTTTATAAATAGCACTCTATCTGCCCCCCCTGAATCCATCCACTGCTGTCTCTGTATTCTCCCCAATCTCGTCCCCTATCCAGACCCATAATATAATAGTAATGTTGTCCAAAAGAACCCCAGAGAGTCCAATTCCTGGCCGGTATCGCGCAACAAAGGCTTCAGCTTTCACGCTGCAGTCGCGCAGGGTTCCTCGCGAGAGAATCAGAGACCGAGCACCCAAAGACAAAGAGCGAGATAGCTCTGGCTCGGGATCCGGCTCGATTGGCAGTAAGACTCGACGAGTCGAGCGACGTCAAAGATTTGATAAGCCCCCAGATGTAACGTAAGTCATGTCCACAGCATGGATGTATCGCCATCTCCATCTTCATCTTCATCTTCATCTCATCATCTACACCAATCCATAAATCCAACCACTAACCAAACCCATAGAACACCCCCAACAAGCCCAATAGTAATGCTCCGCGTGGGTCCCGAAAAGCGCCTCTTCGCAGCCCATGAAGCCATCCTCTGCACATCCCCCTTCTTCGCCGCGCACTGCAAAGCCCAAACCCCAAACCCGAATGCGCCACGCCCCAGACTCGCCCAACAACCACCAAGCAAGCGCATCGAACTCCCAGACGAACAAGCCGAAGTCCTCTCCTGCATCCTCGAGTACCTCTACAAGGGCGACTACTACCCGCGTCTGCGACACAACAGCCGGACCCAGACATGGGAGCTAGAAGACGCAGATGCAGGCGTTGGCGCGGGCACTAGTGGAGAATTGGGACAGGCGACGGCAACGGTGTTTCATCATCGCGCGCGTGGGGTGATATTGCGGGATACGGCTATTTAGTAAGTGATGCTTTGCATTCTTTCATTTAGTTATGGATGTGAATGTGAATGTGAATGTGTGTGCTAACATATATCTTTTCTTCTACAGCTGCGCAGCTGAAAAATACAACCTCCCCCATCTCCAGCGTCTTGCGCTGCGCAAGCAGGGTCTACACACTGGGATACAGTGTAGCACGATTCTTGCGAGTGCGCGGTTCGCGTATGATAATACGCCGGATACGGAGTCGAAGTTGCGGGCGCATTACCTTGCACTGATTGTGCGGTCGAGGGGTACTTTTATGCGCAGTGGAACTATGCAGGCAGAGATGGAGCGTGGGGGGAAGTTGTTTTTTGATCTTTTTGTTGCTTTGTGTAATCATATGGTGAGTTTACTTCCCTTTGGTGTTTTGGGTATGGGATGAGGTGCTAATTTAGGTTACGATTAGGATGACTATACTGGTCAATCAGTTGAGAGTTCGGCTGTTACGACTCATTGTTAGGGATCATCAGGATTGTGGGTCTAGGTGGTAAGTTGACGGGTTGTTGGCTTTTGACTAATTGCGCGGTTTCTATTCTATATCGCTGC